GTTGATCACGTGTCGTTTGAGTTCCCGCCATATTACAACAGAGTTCGCGAAGTCCTGGAACTAGCGCCTGTCGGAAAATGTGTTCGACTTCACAAGCGCTGAAATTAGCCTTTCTCCCCGGTTACGCTGGTTACGACGGTTTAACACTGCCCGGGGAGATAAGCCCACGAGAGCGAGAGGACCGAGAGAGAGCGATGGATGGGTTAATCGATAGGTAAGCTTAATTTTAAAATCTCATTGTTTGATATTGCAGTTTTTATTTACGTTTTTCTCACACAGGCTGACTGTCAATTTTAATTTGCCTTCAATGTTTTCAACATTGATGTCTTCAATCACCATTCTACAAAATCACCCATCTGTTTAATTCGCAGTCGTTTGGGAGATTGATGAAATTAGAATTGTGAGGTTAGCTAACATGGATAATTTGAAAGACAGGTTCCCCCGGCTGATCTCTAGTTACATTGTATCTCTGAAGCCCAAATGTGTTGTAATATTAATACTTGGAACAAATGAGCCTTCTCATGCAACTCTTACCGAAATAGCTTCCCATCTACAGATGTTATGTCATGTGGGTATTTTACTTTCTTGGGCACAATGTTCTCTAGCTTTTAAAAATGCTACATGTAACTGGTACCCAATATTGTTTTGCTGACCACTGAGAATTTAAATTATCTTAAATTAGTACTTTGGTGAAAAAGTATGCGGATATTTATTTTGAAGAAGGAAATCAGCAATGCTTGAGGAGCTAACCTCTGATTGTCAATTAAGGAACAGATACAGTAATGTCTAAGGACATTGAAATATCAATATATAAAGAATAAAGTAAGTCATGCAATGTAATAAGTCAGTGTCTGAGCTAGGACTTAATTCTGGTTTCCACTGCTTGAAGCTACAAGGATTATTGCTAATCCTTCAGCATTTTGTCGGTCGGATTGCCCTAACAGTTCACTGCTACCGCTAACCGTACCCATTTATACAACTGGGTAGTTAGAGGCACTTATCAGGAACTAAATTAACCCCAGTTTGTATTTCGTTATTTTAACTTACTGATGTTGTCATATAAAGTGAATTTCCGAGCAAGATTTGTGAATTATTCTGAAAGTCTTCAGAGCAAGTATCAGGATAAGAGAATTTAGTGGAAGTGGCAATGAAATTTCACAAGCATGATTACCTTGGTTTGCCATAATTTCAGTGTTGGTATGAATAGACTATGAGCAGCCCCTCTTTTCCTTAGTCCATCAAGCGAGGAGCAAAGCGAGAGGGGGGGGGGGGGGGGTGGGGAATAACTGCGCAAAATCTATTTTGCATCTCACTCATGGGACTAAGGAAAGAGGGATCTTGGCTGTGAACACTACAGTCCTTGTGTTATTTTTCCCTAAGTTGTTTGATCATTGGCAAGCAAATTTTGGAAGTGGAGAAAACTGCTTAGCCTGTACAGGGGCTGGGGCTGTTTCCAGTTGTTTTCCGGAGTTAGGGCTGATTACATGAGATGGGCTAGCCTGGTTATTAGCTGGGTTTGATGAGATCTGTTCAGATCACAGTTGAGTACATGGAGGAGTGTTTGAGCCAGCCCAAAACCATGAAGAGATTGGCTGAGCTAGCCCAATGTAATTGTAGAGTTGATTTTTTTGTGTGTTTCAGAATGACAGGACGAAAAAACCATGCATTGAACTTGGCAAACCCAGCTAGCTTGCCAAATTAGCCAGGTCAGCTCAGCTCATATAATAATAATAATAATCATCATCATACCAACATATCTAACACTCTTTAGTCAGACTTAATCTTTATTTGAAATACTTTATTTACCTTGAATAATGAATCCCATCCATGTTTACTGATTTGACAATTATCATCATTCAAGCATTGTGTTATAGACTGTTCACAATAGAGAGGCTGTGAACAGTCTAATTGTGTTATGGTATTGTTCTCATTTGTATTTGTGTCAATCATTCATCCTGTTCATTGTTTAAAAAAGCCCGATCAAACAGTCACAACATTTGTCACAACATTCTCTCAACATTTGTTGAGACATGTTGTGACATGTTGAGACCAGGCCCGGTCAAACGGCCCCAACAGCCTCTCAACATTTCAAGAACAAAAGAAATGTTGTGACGATGTTGAGACAAAGTTTAAATGAATTCAAACTCGTCTCAACATGTCACAACAACTCTCAACATTGTTTAGAGGGGTGGTCAAACGGTCTCAACATCGGCCCTCAACAAATGTCACAAATGTTGAGAGAATGTTGTGACAAATGTTGTGACCGTTTGATCGGGCCTTTACATGCACTATTCAAACAACATAACAATAACACGCATTGTTTTCATTTCGTTGTTCAAAATTAAAAAAGTATTCAATAACTTCTAATTTCATCGCGTGAAGAGTATATATGATATCCTGACGTTGGTTTTATTGCAAGAATGCGTGACCGTTTTGTGGAGGTATACACACCAGAGATTGCGTGATTTACTGGAGGCTGCAGGTTACTGTATATACAGTGATGATGGTAGCATTTATCAGATAATTACATTTTCTCCTGTTATTAATATAATGTACACTGGAAATTTACTAAAAGCGCGCAGGAAAATTTTTCACATATGCAGAATAAGCTTTCGCGCATTTCATTTTCGCGAGTATTTTAAACCCTCTCTGTAAAAGGCATATTAAAGGGTAGTCACAAAACCTTCTTGTAGAATGACTCAGTCAAGGGAGTTGATATTTTAAACAGAAGAGGCCGCTTGTTGTGACTCGGAAACAGAGGAAAAGCGAGTCCTTCTCGTGCTGGAGGAAAAAGAACTCCCAAATGTGGATCGGCTTCGAAAAGATGAAGTTCGTTTTCTCGAACCAAAACAGTCGATGGATTTTCTCGCTCGCCTAAAGTCCTGTTTGAGAAACGTGTACAGCAGTGGGTTTAGAAACCGGTGATGAATCGCAAGAGAAGCAAAATCACGTCAGCCCAGAACGGAATCCCTTCTCTGTTGCCTAAATCATCTTGCAACGAATTGAAGAAATAGTTGAACCATCCAACGATGAAGACGAATATCATGGCACAATAAATGATCAGCGCTCTTCGCTCCTTCCTAGCATTGCGCTCTATGCATTGCGAGGAAAGATGCGACACGTCGCGTTTGATTTGCTTGCAGTGTTTCCTCAGGGTATAGAAAATATGAATGTACGCGATTGCCATTAGTCCAAGAGGAAGCACAGCCAAGAGTCCAAGACAAACGAAATCGTAAATGATTTCGTTTTTACTCGGTTCTTGCGATTCTTTGTCTATGAATGAGAGTTGAACGAGCGAGGCGCAGAGCGAGAGAGCCCAGACTACCAGCAGAACTACCAACAGGTCCTCTTGGAAAACACAGAAGTAGTTCGCAATACCGAGAAAACTATGGTTAAATATCTCTCCATGGTGATCAACAGCAAATGTAACACGGTTGATATCGATAGAAATCGTTGACCCAAGTCCATGGCTAAACAGATATTTATGTTAGCGAGAGTACTACAGGCGATAATAAGCGGTATTGCATACAGCCCCGATAACATATCAGATACGGCCAGGCTTGCCAGGCAGAAGTTGGTGACGGTCTTGAGGTATTCTCTGGTGAACACCAAATAAATCACCAAGCCGTTGATAGCGACAATGAAGAGACCAAGAGCGGATAGAGTAACATAAATTCCTATGACTGCAGCGCTTGCTTCGGTGGAAACGTTCATTTCGACTTGTGAAGTATAATTTACATTCACTGGTGCGTCAGAATCAACCATCATTGGTCTTCTATTCCTGTCAGTTCTCGGAATTTGTTTCTAATGAAGTTACGCCTCTTGATCCTGTAAAAAAACGCAGATTGAGAAGATTTAGAGTGAAATTTACTTCATACAGCAATGGCTATGTGTAGATTGCTCTTTTAGCGTAGATATATGCGATTAGGAACATTGGTTTGATTGCTTGATGCTAATTGGTCGGTCGTGAACACCAAATCAATCATAAGCCAATGTCATGTGAGCTATGCCGTTTAATATTTTATGGAGATGGTACATGGTGTCCTGTTTCGCATCCATTTAGTTACATGCTGGTAATCGACAGGTACACTGTATGTACCATGTTGATTTGATAGTAAAAAGCGCCCTACCCCTCTCCTACCTTTGAGCGGGCGCTCAAATCATTACGGTGGGCAAGAAAAATGAAACAGCTGGCAAAATTTAAACACAACTTCAACAATTCTTCGAAACTGAATACGTTGGCCCTCTATATGCATCCCAGATATGTTTCATTACAAAACCGTCCCTACATTCTTCTCGATTCTTCGAAAACGGCTAGCTCGTTTCATCTACTAGGAGTACATGATTATTTACAAATGTCGACTGAACGTTTGTCCTTTTTGATACGTATTTTGTGTGTGGAGACTCAGGTAGTGTATATAATCCTATAATATAAAAAGAAAACTGCCTAAGAAAATCTGCTCTTATGGAGGCTAATCGAAGCGGAGGCCCTGGTACCCTGGGTCCCTGGTCCCTTATTTTAAATTAATGCGCTTGTGAGATGAACACAAACCGTCATGCTCGATCTTGCACAAAAGCCTCGAAAATTCGACACAAAAGTTTCGAAAAATACTTACAATTTTAAAGTAGTAAGCACAAGCTCCTGGCACAAGGGTACCAAATCTGAAACTGTTTATACAGGTTAGTTCTGTCTTGACAATTTATGTAGTTCTGAGTGCTAAATTAGTGTACATGTAATCGATTGCAGTACGTGTTTCCGATACTCAAGCGTAATTATTCTCTGCCGACAACCGGGCGGATATAAATTAACGCCTCTTTGGGGGATGAATTAAAACGCGTTAATGATTGTAAACTTTCTGTTTTTTAAAAATGTTTTAAATTACACTCTTTTCTTTTTATAAAAACGTCTAATTTTCGAGCTGAGGCTGAACTAAGACCGAATGTGAGAAAGATATTATTCTGTCAGTGACACAAGCTACTCGGAAAAAAAAAATTCCGAGTTCCCCCAACAGGAGTCGAACCTATGACCTTCCGCGCACCGGTCGGACGCTCTACCACTGAGCTACAGGAGACTCGTGGGAGCTAAGGCCATATAACTAGGTTCAAGTGTGACAACCATCCCGCATACTGCTAGGATTAGATTTGTCGATGATAGAGAATTTGTGGAAAGAAATGATGGTATATTTTAAGCTTGGCAGAAATATGAGAAAGATATTATTCTGTCAGTGACACAAGCTACTCGGAAAAAATTCCGAGTTCGAATGTTCTTATTTGTTTGGCGATTTCAGCCTGAAAACGTTCTTAACATGTTCTAAGTTACATAGTATAGAATTTCACAAAAGAGGATTCGAACGTGACCTTGAAAAGGTATTTACATTTTATGTGATAGAAATTCATGTTGTTACTATAAAAAATGTGCATTCAAGTATTTTGAGCTGATTTGAACTGCTTATTCACTGAGATATTTGAAATGTTACATTTTTTAATTTTTTGGAAGGATACTGGAATATTGTATTTAGAGCTCGATGCAAGAAACAAGTGAATAAAAATGTTCTTAGCTAAGTCTCAACCTGGCTATGTTCTTAGCATGTTCTTAAAATTTTGGTCAATCTCGGCCTCAACGTTCTGATAAAAAAGGTTCTTATAAACAAAAGAGTGTAGTGAAGTTTGGCGACAAAAGTTTGGAAATATTGGAAAAAATTGAACGAAAAATACGTCTCTGCTTTATTTTCTGGGGTAATTTCGAAAATTAAGTACCTAACAGGTTTTTCATGTTTAGACCAATGAAAAACGAAAACAGTTGGCGGGCTATAATTCTGCTTATCCAAAAACTTTGTATTATTTGACGTTAAAAAAGTGTAAAACCACAAACTTAACGTTTCGATGCTACTTCTCTTCACACGAGACAGCAGTCTCGTTTTTACGCCCTTTTAACGCCTAATAATACTAAGATTTTTCACTAACACTTGGGCGTTACACAGGTTTATCAAAAATTTCATTCTGAATTGTGCTCATGGGTTTTAAATAATTCGTTTGTACCAATTTCTTCATTCTTCAGTTGGCAATTCTCTCAACAAAACTAGAACAAAAATGAATTTTTCCAGCGACTTTGACGAATATCACTTATCGATTGAAGCGAAACATGGTATTTAGTGCAGTTAGAGGGTTAAAAGAGAGCATAATGCACAGACCTGCTAATGTTCCTGGCAGCCAAATGGACTCCAAAGTATGCAATCCATATTTTTTGGGATTTTACGAGCCACTTTGGAGTTCATTGCTAGGATTGTTGCTGGGTACTGTACACATAATTATTCCATTTCCTAAAGTAATTTATGCAATAATTTTGAAGTGTTAATCTACAACAAATTACTTCAAGGTCTGAAATTAGCGTATTGTACAAAAAAAGTGTTCAAGTTGTGATTGATCGTTACAATCATTTCCGTTGGGGATAGATACTTATAGCATTCATAAATTAAAGATATCACATTTTCATTTGAATGTAGTCAGTTTTTTTGTTTGGGTAGCTTTTAAAGTTATTTCCTCTCGGTTTTACAGTATCCGGTGCAACTAGCTAGCAACGGCGCACTGGCTGGAAATAACGCCGCATGCAGCCTGTATACCCGCTTTCACTCCCACGAGTGTCAGTGAAAAAAAAATTACATTTCATTTTGCGTATACTATTGAAAAACAAACAGTACCACATGAAAGCATGAAAGTACCGCTCAATACACATTTGTATGGTCGCACACTATGATTATATCCACAGACTAAAAAGTTAGAACCACCTTGTACAGCATAACAGTACCACATGAAAGTACTCCTCAATAGCTTTCAGTTGTATGGTCACATACTAGGGTTATATTCACACACTCAAAAGTTACAACCACCTTGTACAGCATAATAAACAGTACCTCATGAAAGTACTCGGCTCGATAGCTTTCAGTTGTATGGTCACACACACTATGATTATATCCACAGACTCAAAAGTTACAACCATATTTCTAACTGATTTGAATTTTGACTGAGTGAAAGAGTTAATCATGGTCATAATAAGCAATCAAGTATTTTGGAGGTTATGCGGCATCCTCTATAAAATTCGTCGCAAGACTTTGTCCTTCTGGCTGTTTATTTTTCTTTTGTTCATCACAGGAGTGGCACCGGCTTGCATGTACATGTATACCGTTCAAAAAGACGAGCGAAGAGCTTGAAATAATCACCGAGATTCTCAGTTTTTGGTTGACTAAATTACACAAAAAGAATATACGTCTGTGTGTGACAACCTTTACAACTATTCTAGCTTTTGAATCTTTTGCGACTGGTCAGTATTACATTTTTAATTTGTTTGCCCAACTTCTTTCTACTCGGCTCTGCAGACGAACACAGGCAATAACACGACAACATCCTCGAAAATATAGCTAAGTTCAATATCACTTTTACAAGTGCCTACAGTAGCCGGGTAACCGTTAGTCTACAAAAGAGCGAACATAGTTTCTTTTATCTGATGACTTTTTTTCTTAATCTACATTCGTTAAGAAAGTGGAAGAGGATCAAACCCAGGTCAAACGTAACTGAACGATGGCAATTTGTGTAGCCGCTAGTATCTCGTGTGTACTGACCTTAAAACGAAGAGCGCCAGCGATATCAGCCAAATCGGAGTTTGAAGAATTGGTGCAGCGTGCATGCGTTTTTATCCCAAATTTATTCTCTTCTTTTGTTATTTAAATTTGACTTATATTGTATTTTTGACGTATGCTTGTTTTTATCCCGACCCGTGCATGTGCTTTTTAGAACTTGGGCTTGCAATTTTTCACTTCTTGCTTTTAGCGGTGTCCCCAGAAAGCTATAATCTTGCTTTCAACCCGTTGCAAAGGTTAAACATTTATGACTGATAATGGTAAGGCTGTAAACTGTTTTAATGCCTTGCAAAAACATTCCCTCTTTGTTATTTTAATTTAAAAGCCGAAATCAGTATTCAGGGACAGCTTAACAACTTGATATTGTAATGAAATGGCAGTCGAGTGTTGAAAGTCTCTTCATTGTATGTTGGACCCCAAGATCTCGCAATAACATTTCATTCATATAAATAAACAAATAAATAAAAAAGCAATGTAAAAATTTCGAGAAGGAACAAGTACGCCAAAAAAAAAAAAAAAACGGAAGAAAAAAATAAAAACGATCCCCCTTTTCAGTTTTACTCTTTTCTTTTGCCGTACGATCAATCTGAGTTATACGATGTGAAACTAAATAATTATTCATCATCGCGAGAAGGAGTAGGAGAGCTCATTTGTTTACAGTGAAATTAAAGGAGGTTTCAAGCCAAAATTGGGCTTATATCAACTACGCACATTTGGATTCCGTCTGAAGCGAATTCCAAAATGAAGCGATTTCATGTGCCAGAACTTACTCCTCATCATGTCCTCTGAAAGAATATCAAGCCTGAGTTATCATGCAACGTTACTTACACTGAACCACCTTCGATATTTTTTTCAACTCTAACACAGTAAAACTACAATTTTCGTCGTGTTTATCAAATGAACAGTTTTTGTGATGGTAACGAGATAAACCAGAGATAAACTATGCTCATTTGCAGAAACCGCAACTCTATCTAAATTGACTTTTTTCTTTGAAATTACGCTATTCAATATTCATGATAGATAATTAACAACGTTCGAATCGTGCCTCGTTAACACCTTAGTGTTGGATTTTTTTTATGTTGTAAAGAGTCTGTTGGAAAAACAAATGAACGATTCCATAAATTTTGAATATATTATGGGGAGCGAAATCTGGGAAGCGGATGAGTTATGGTCCTGTTCTCTTATCCTGTCGACACAACAATCAAAATGGCGGACAGCACTCATGGTCCTGCGGACAGGGAAAATGAATGGCAAAGAGGAGGGGGAGGGAGGGAGAAGAACGTCAGTTCCAGACTGCATACAGCTTTCACATCTGCATGTTTTATCGTCCTTTAATCGCTGGGAAGAATAATATGCACATGTACATATGTTAGGACGTAAAACTGACACGAGTCTACTATCTTTCTAACTATCTACTATCTCTCTTCACACACTTTGGAGGCCAACTACGAAAAAGTCCACTTAGAAATGGTAATTTCTGGTAATGGTAACGGATGCTGTCATATATAAATATTTAAAATCGTAGCGACTTTTTCAAGCCGCAAATGTTAGTTCATTTACTCCGTTGGGTCAAGGAGTTGAGGAAAGTCATTCTCAGTTGTCAATACAGGCTACTCTATACATTTGGCATTATTGCTCAGTTAGTATTTACTGGCCATAACATATAATAAACCAATATACATAATTTATACTTTTCAGGAAAATAAACCTCTCGGCCAATTTCGGCCAAAACAATTAACAATTTATAAGAAACGGTTTATATATTTTTCTTTTTTGCTATCAGAGTACCGCTCTTGAATCTACGCTGGTTTACCATAAAGTGTATATTCTTCATTTATCCCATAAATGCGATCGGAGATTTTGTAGAATGTGCATTTCACGTCATACCCAGGGAACATATAGTTTTTATAAGTTTTGTTTTTCGTTTATGTAATCTTAACCACAGCGTACATGTATGTACTTACAACTGATAAACAACTGCTGGGCGTTGTTTTCTTTCTATAAATACGGCTGTTCAGTTCGTTTTGTATTTTTTTCCTCTGGTGCTTATGTAACATTAGGAGCGCAAATAAACTTTAATTTCGACAAAGATAGTACTCGGCAGCGAAGAAAGCGTACATTTCTTAATTCAGCCATATCGGAAGTGGACGATATTATGACATATTTTTTCCTTTTCGTTTCCAATTGTTTTTACAATTTTGTACGGCGTCTACGGTTGCTGTGGTAATCTTAAACAGCTGTGTCTGAAAACGGTAACTTGACAATTTGGTCGCTTTGCCGGGCGAAACCTGCCCGGTTTAATTTTCGGAGCGATAATAACATCGTTAACGAAATGTCAATACCAAAGTCTTATGACAAAATTCCATCCATTTTAACAAATGGGAAAGACGGAAAGCCAACGTTAAACAGACGTCCAGTGGCGTACATACATTATTACA